ACCATGGAAGACTGGTATACCACCATGGAAGACTGGTATACCACCATGGAAGACTGGTATACCACCATGGAAGACTGGTATACCACCATGGAAGACTGGTATACCACCATGGAAGACTGGTATACCACCATGGAAGACTGGTATACCACCATGGAAGACTGGTATACCACCATGGAAGACTGGTATACCACCATGGAAGACTGGTATACCACCATGGAAGACTGGTATATCACCATGGAAGACTGGTATATCACCATGGAAGACTGGTATACCACCATGGAAGACTGGTATACCACCATGGAAGACTGGTATATCACTATGGAAGACTGGTATACCATCATGGAAGACTAGTATACCACCATGGAAGACTGGTATACCACTATGGAAGACTGGTATATCATCATGGAAGACTGGTATACCACCATGGAAGACTGGTATACCACCATGGAAGACTGGTATATCACCATGGAAGACTGGTATACCGCCATGGAAGAATGGTATACCACCATTGAAGACTGGTATACCACCATGGAAGACTGGTTACTGTAATATCTTGAGACGTCCGTATAGCATTTGGCAGGGAGATACAAGAGATGAGACACGACACACACTGAGTGCTGATAATACTGACACGTGTTTATTCAAGTCCAGGCTTTATATACTTGAATCATTTTTACATAATAATAACACCTGGTCTAACAGACCATTCATATTGAGATCACTACATCTCTCCCTAACTTTATTAAATTTCATGATTAATTTTACTTTCTTACTTATTACAATCATGTCAGGGGAATATTCAAGCTATAATATATCCATAAATTGAGCGATAAATACATACAAAGTTTCATACAATAAAGCGATATATACATACGAATGTTCACAAAATTAAGCGATATACACATCACAATACAAATCTATAGTAATATTAAATACATTTTTTTTTATTATACTTTTGAAAATGTTTTCAATTAATTTTTTTTATTAGCTTTATAATTTTTTATTTTTTTGTTGTTCATTTATAATATCAATCTTTTATTCTATGTACAGCTATTGTATTAGTCAGCTTTAGTATCAGTGTCAATAACGCAAGAATTCAGTCTGTTTTCTAATTCTG